AAAACACACAACAACCATACCATTCGAGAAGGGGGGCAAAAGCTCTTTAGCCCCAGGCCTGTCAGAATAGCCAGGTTTTAAGGGCTTTGCGGGATTTGTGGGAGTGAAACTTGTACCTTGAACGGGATCACTCCTTCCTTTCGCCCACGCATTCATTAATATAATGCGAGGCTCGTTAAGTGCACATGAGGTATTTCAGGGTGGGAAAGGCCATGCGGGGAGGGAAGCTGATGGAACAGGCCACCTGCCTAAGACCACCCAAGGCCTCCCCGACCCATTGAAAAACCTCATGCTCCACACAACTGCATTCCCCTTGCCACCCACCCACTAAACTGGGTTACTTACCTTGGGAAGATCTGGTAAGCAGTCTCCTCTCCACCCTCAGTTACATGTGCCCCTCTGGAGTTCCGTTCGAGCCTCCACAGGCCTTGCCTGCCTGGTCGCTAACCAAAATGGAGCTTCTCAGAGCCGAATCCTAACCCTAACTCCCAGAAGCTCCATTTTGGCCTCCGGCTGGCTGGGGGAGGCCTGTGGAGGGCCAAACGGAGCCTCGGAGGGCCGGATCCGCCCCTCAGCAGCTCCATTTCAGCCAGCAACATGCAGGACAAATATTTCAGAGCCTCTGCAGTTGTTTGGTGCTGCAAGATTCATAGTTTCCAGCCTTGTTTGCAAATGCTAGGAGGAGCTTATCGCGTAACTTTGAACATTTGCTAAGGGAATGCTTGTAACCAGGGGATTACTTATATTTGGTTATTTTTAAACCTTGTGAAATTTGTTTTTTATTCAGTCGCACAACATCCAGAGTCAGAAGATGAAGATGCTGAGCAAGGTTAGCAAACTAGCAAGTAAATAAAACGAATAGGCAAACTCAAATCAGTTGGTTTCCCACTCTGAACTCAGCAGCTCAAAAAATAATGTTAGCTTTCTGTTCCTTATTTATATAACGTTTATCTTTAAAATATTTATTACCTGTTTTTGGGCTTCTACTTTTTGCTTCCTTGTTGGGTCAATTGCATCTACCATCCATTTAATTGTAAAATAGGTCACAGCGCCAAATATTGTTAAGCGGAAAATTAGACCAACAACTTCGTTTCGAGTTAGAGGACGAGAAAACGTTTCAGCATGGACCATTGTGCGTGTTTCCCTACACCAAATAATGGAAGGAAGAAGGTCAATGTGCATTCTTTGAAAATTAGGAAGCTCTGAAGTATTAATTTTGGGTACATGATATACATTACTATACTTGATATATGACCAACCTGCTGCTAATTCATACACAAGATGGTTGAGAACTTTTTCATATATAAGAGGAGTTTCACATACAGGAGATTTTGTACACAAGATGGGTACGATTCCGTTCCCTGTAGAGATAAAGAAAGGGATAATTAGTTATCACCCAATATTTGTCAATTACCAAATCAAAAAGGGAAAGCGTTTTTTTAAAAATGGAACATATTAATATAATATTCAGAGGAAGCATCATACATGCCTTTACTTGTTATTAGCAACTCCCTTGATAGTCATCAAAAGAAGTAAGACTCAGCTTTACAAATTGACTTAAAATACTCGATTTAAACATACTATGAATGTGCAGAGTGTTCCATACCCAGCACAGCTGGTTTTCAATGGTGTCTGCCCAAGCCAAAATATGGTATTTCAGATGTTTTATTCTATACCGTGTACGGGCTCTGGGAAGTCAGGGGG